TGAAGTTCCTTACATATCATAAGGTTTTGTTGTATTAACTTTTCAGGATGTATTAGGCCTTAAGAATTGATTAGAGTAACCCCGCATTTTAAAGCCCTCCATTTAGGTTTGATTATTGGAGCACGGTAATTGGATTAATGTTTAACAGTGGTCATCCTATGGATTCACTTAGGAAGTTGGGAAATGGCAATTTGATTCTTCTTTACTGGCCTGGCCTTATTGTACAATTAATGAAGACCTGCTTAAAAATAGCTCTCAGAATAGGGCCAACGAAGGGAAAGCCTTTCTTTTCTTTTCTTTTTTTTTTTTTTTACCCCTCTTTTTTGTTACTTCTCACGTGAGGATATTTTCCTATTGATTTTTAGGGAGAGTGGAAGAGAGAGGGAAAGACAGAGAGAAATATCTATGTGAGAGAAACATATTGACTGGTTGCCTCCTGCACGAGCCCCAACCAGGGCCAAGGCTGGGGAGGAGCCTGCAACCAAGGTATGTGCCCTTGACCAGAATCGAACCCGGGACCCTTTGGTCCACAGGCCAATTGCTCTATCCTTTGAGCCAAACCAGCTTGGGTGGGAAAGTCTTTAAAATAGTGCACAGGTATTAGTGAATTCGTTTTCATGGCTAAAATAGCTACTTTTACCCAATTTGGATTAATGAGATCTAATTTTATGTTTCTTTCTGGCTAGAGCACTAATACTAAGGAACAACTCATTTTCTTAACTGTATTCTGGGTTTTCAAAGTTGTTAGGTGATTTTATTTTATTTTATTTTATTTTAAATATGTTTTTATTGGTTTCAGAGAGGAAGAGAAAGGGAGAGAGAAACATCAGTGATGACAGAGAATCATTGATCGGCTGCCTCCTGCACACCCCGTACTGGGGATCAAGCCCGTAACCAGGTCATGTGCCCTTGACCGAAATCGAACCTGGGACCCTTCAGTCCACAGGCTCTGGTCACGCTCTATCCACTGATCCAAACCAGCTAGGGCTCAGAGTTATAAGATACTTTTAAATAACTGACCTTGCATAGTTAGTTCATGTGCAGTTTGTTTTTTATTTTTTAATTTTTCTCTAATTAGAACGTTTACATAGAAAGGCATAAAACGTATGTGTACAGTTTAAAGAATAATTGTAATATCAGCACTCAGGTAATCACTGCTCAGATCAATGGAATACTATGCAGCTATAAAAAAGAGGGATCTCTTACCCTTTAAGACAGCATCGAGGGACCTGGAGAGTATTATGCTGAGTGAAATAAGCCAGTCAGAGAAAGATAAGTATCACAGGATCTCACTCATATGTGAAATCTATTGAACAAAATAAACTGACAAACAAAATAGATCCAGAGACATGGAAGCATGCATCAGACTGAGGATCCTCAGAGGGAAGTGGGGAGAGAAGAGATCAACCAAAGAACTAATATGCATATACATATAACCCATGGACAAAGAAAATAGTGGGATGAAGGCCTGGGGAGGGGTTGTGAGTGGGGAGAAGGGAGGTCAATGGGGGGAAAAGGGGACATCTGCAATACTTTCAACAATAAAGATAAATTTTTAGAAATGATAATAGCCAACATGAAAAAATTTCAGTTTGGCCACAGACTGGCTATAAGTTACGTAATGTTTGTTGATTAAATGGATGAAGAGAATATGTTAAGTAACTGCTATATGTAACTGCTAACATAATACATGATAGAAGTCACTCAATAAATGTTGTCAACTTAAAAAAAAAAAAGAAAAATTTACAAGCATTTCAGAAGCTCCACCCTTACCATGTGCTCCATCCAGATGACAACCCCCTCTCTTTCTTTGGGTAGCCACTGTTTTTACTTTCATCATTTTCTTGCTTCTCTTTGTAATGTAATCACTTATATAATTTAGGTTTGCCTGCTTTTGCTTGTATGAAAAGAATCATGCTATGTACTCTCTTGGGTCTGGGATCTTTCAGTCAGTGTTAATATTTGTGAGATTTTATCTGGGTTATTGCTATGCAGTGCATTTTTAAAAAGCCTTTTCTGTATTTGCCTCTCTCCCTTTTTTACTTAGGATCCCTGTAATTCTAAATGCTTTTGGAGATTTCTACTTTGCCTTCTTGGATTTTCTGCTAAATGTGGTCTGAAGACTAAAACTTGTCTGGACCCCAGTTTTCATTTAAATTTTTTTTATTGAGGTAACATGGTTTATAACATTATAAAAGTTTCAGGTGTACAACATTATAATTCGATAGCTGTATACCCTACTGCGTGCTCACCACTAAAAACCTAGTTTCCATCCATCACCATATATTTGACCCTCTTGACCCATTTTTGCCTTCCCCACTCCCTCCCCTCTGGTAACCAGCAGTCTGTTCTCTGTATCTATGAGTTTGTTTTTGTTTTGTTTGTTCACTTATTTGTTTCTTTTGTTTTATTTTATATTCTACACATAAGTAATATCATGTGATTTTTGTCTTTTCTTGAGAGTATTACACTAAGTGAAATAAATCAGATGGAAATGGACCCTAGTTTTCTGAACTGCCCTGACTGCCCCCACTCTGATGGCATTTGTTTTATGAGCCTACATCTTTAAGGCTTCTGTGCTTGGTTAAAAATCTTCCTTTCTCCAAGGCTGGTCCAAGGGTCTGGTCACGTGATTCCAACAGTGACATCACACTCTGACTGCTGGGGAACACTGGTAGTTCTTTAGGTGGTGTTTGTTCCTGTGAAAGGCAGAGAAAGCAGCAAGTGCCCCTCTAAAGCAGTTTATACCGGGGCTCCTTCTGTAAAAGCTTCTCAACCTAAATGACCAAATGCGGGCTGCCAAGGTTATTTCTTCCTTGAGGCAGAAAAAAAGAAAGCCGTAATTGAAGGTAAGCTGACTTGAGCCTGGCCAGGGACAGAAGCGTGACCCCAGGGAGAAGGGAATCTGGAGAATCACAAGCAGTCTGTTGTCAGATTCTAATGACTGCCTGCTCTTTTAGAGCTGCCTGACAATTTGCATTTATAACAGGAGACTATCTACAAAGAAGGATGATGCAGTGCTCATGTTACCTAGTGATGTAAGAGGATTCTTTCATTTCTCTTAGGAAGCTGTTGCAGATTTTCATTTTGTCTTAATATCCTTTGAGCTGGGGGGCTTTATTTGATAATAGTGTAACATTAGATAGCTGTTGCTTTTAAAAATCGGTTTCACAAAATCCTTACTTAATTTCTCCTGAAAGGGACACTCTTAAACCAGACCAAATTCTATTGAAGCATTAACCTGCTTTAAAAAGTAAATTTCTGATTTTTTGATGTCCTGTGTTCATGTAAGCGTTTGTCTTGAGAATTGAAACAGCTTCTCTCTCCCCCCCCCCCACACACACACCCGCTACATACTTTATTCTCTTTCTGCCCTCATTTCCTAGCTGGCTATTTCCCTCTAAGCTCTCAAACAGCACACCAACACTGATCTTTATCAGTATGCCACTAACATGATAGGAAATGCTGGACTGGTGATTCAGCAGACAACCATTTTACAGCCAGGTAGGCTGGAAGATAGAGAAAGGACTTTGATTAGGGGTTTTAAGATTAACTTGTTCACCTCCTCCAGTCCAGCACCACCCCCAGCCTTACCTTCAATATGATTTAGATTCTGCAGAGTTTTTTCTTTCAAATATGTGTGTTGCTTGTGAAAGATATGCTGAATTAGGTATTTGGAAGACTCAAATTTGTAAACCAGATATAGCTTGAGTGTTAATTCCAATTGACCCCATCAGAGTGCTGAAGTTGTCTGTTAGAAGTTTAGAGTCAAAATGGGGATGCAGATAGGAGGAGTGGGGGGTTAGTTCAGGCCCACTTTGACTTTCTCTGCAGAGGAATTCATCACCAAAGAGTCTAGAGATAAAGCTTTGGATCTGCCAGCGTTGATGCTGCAAATGTGAGCTCTGGCTGTCTGAGTTCAATTATGGCATTACTCTGCATTTTTCCTCAGAGTTCATTTACATAAATACCTGAGTACTGTTTTACATTTTGTGTTTAATAGCTAAATATTGTTTCAAAAGGGAATTGTAGAAATAATTTTGAGTAAGTTTGTTAAGCCGTACTAAGTAACCCTTGTATGAGTACAACTTCTGAGTTTGACTACTTCTCCCTTATCACCACTGTTTATCAAACAAAGTTTGGTTTAGCTGATATTTATTGAGCCTTGGGCAGATGCTATATGCTGGAGAAGGCAATGACGAGTCAGATCTAGGGCTGCCTTTGAAAAGCTTCTAGTCCAGAAAAGAAGATAAAGTATTTACATAATAATTGTAATAGAAATGCTAAAGGCAGAGCAGATAAAGGGCTGTGATTGTTGGAAAAATGGATTTGTTTCTTCCAATTGAAGGATCAAGGAGGGACATCATTGTGGAGCCCTACACTGCTCTTTAAATCTCTACTTATAAATCTTAGATTGTTCTGATATACTTAGTAAAAGTTTCTACAAGCCTGTTACATCAGGGATCAAAGTCTTCTACCTATTGAAAGAAAATATGTACATTCCAGCCAGCTTAACGCTTGAAGAGGCTGACAAGCTTTCTTTGGAGTCCCCATTCAGGCAAAAGCCACCTCCCACGATTGAATTATTGCCTCATAAATGTAAAATGCTTTCTGCTGTGATATGTCTACAAAGGTCTTTGACCCCTTTGTCTCCCTTCCGTAACAGAAACTGAAATACTTCAGCTGCTCCAAGCTCCCGTCTTTTGTTTATAAATCCTTTCCCACTGCACTTCAACTCCTGTCAGTTCTCCCTTTATACTTCCACTCTCATCTGTCCCCTTCCATTTACACTGCCTGAAGACACTCATTTTGTGCCTAGACCATTGAAACCTCTGAATGTGATGAATGTTCTCACCAGGTGATTGATTTTATTGCTTTGTCAGCACACCCTAACAGTAGTCTTCTGATAGTTTAAGGGCTCACCTATTGGTGCCCAGAAAAGAGATATTAAAAATGATGAATGTCTGAAGTACTAACGTCTTGTTTCCTGTTCAATATAGAGGACAAGTCATACAATGGTGGAGGAATAGGTTCTTCAACTAGGATGATGGATTTCTTGGAGGAGCCAATCCCCGGTGTGGGAACCTATGATGATTTCAATACAATTGATTGGGTGAGAGAGAAGTCTCGAGACCGGGATAGGCATCGAGAGGTAAGGTGAAAAATGGCACATGAGTGTTAGGAAACACCAGGGTAAGAAGTTGAAGATATACTTTATATGTCATTCCTTCAGCCCTGGATGTGGCTGAATCTGGTTTCTATTGGCAATGTAGAGTTTTATTTGTAATGTGTCTTTATATGATTTTGAAAAGAATTTATATTTAATGATGATTTTTCTTTCTAGAGTAAGTGGTTGAGAAGGATCTTTGCAGCCTGAAATGGGTATAAATACCTATGCAGACAAGTGAAACCAAACTTGGTGGGAGTGACCAAAATAAATTTCAAAGATCCTCCTTTCTCATTTCATCTCCCTTTTATGGTTTTCCCTTAAAGCAGGATTTTTAGAACTAAGAAAAGTAAATGGGTTCCTTTTAAAGGAATAAAAGAAAAAAACCTCAGAGCTTTAGTGTTACTGAAGCATACAAGATAGACTTTTTGTGCTCGTAGCTCTTGTACAACCATAAAACCAAAGTAAATTTATGTATTGGGCTCAAACAAAACCACAAGACCAATCAAATTCAAATTAAGGGCATTGATTTAACTTGATAGGTAATAGATGGATGGTACTTATGGCTATGACAGCTTCTTGTGAATATGACAAGAGAATTTCTCCACTTTTCAAAGTATGATGAAAACTTTTCAGAGCAGTTTAGCAAGGTCATTTGCCTTGAACTTGTTGCTGTGTATCATTTAAGTGAGGGAATCATAATTTCTAGTTTGTGTCAGGAGCACATGGAGAGCTTATTAATAAGGTAGAGCCCCAGCCCCAGTGACCCTGATTCAGTAAGTGATTCTCTGGGGAGACATTTCTTCAACCAACGGTGGGTATTATTATTTTTTCCTTCTTACTATTTCTGCTTTGACTCTGAATTTAATTTTTGATTTTTAAGATTACCCCATTCTGCCCAGAGTTCATTATTTTTTTCTCAGTAAATCTCTGAAGCAGATCACTTTTCATTATTTTTTTAAAAAATTGATTTCAGAGAGGAAGGGAGAAGAAGAGAGAGAGAAACATCAATGATGAAATGGAATCATGGATTGGCTGTCTCCTGTACACTCCCTACTGGGGATTGAGCCCGCAACCTGGGCATGTGCCCTGACTGGGAATCGAACTATGACGTCCTGGTTCATAAGTCGACGCTCAACCACTGAGCCACGCCGGCCGGGCCACTTTTCATTCTTAAACCTTTCCCAGCTCCTGACTGGTGTTCTCATGACCACTGGAACCCAGGAGTTAGGTTGTCCCAAGTACAGGTTTTGAGAAATTCCTTTGTAATCCTTGGATTTGTGATAATCTCACTGATTATCCCACTGAAAACTCCCATAGGAGTTTTCTTATCCTAACTTAAAAGAGTGTTTTCTATAAACCAAAGAATATATATGTATATATGCATAACCCATGGACACAGACTATAGTATTGTAGAGACCTGGGGTGGAGGGCAGGTGCAAGCTAGAAAGGGTCAATGGGGGAAAAAAAGGATACATCTGTAATACTTTCAACAATGAAGATAAATTTTTAAAAAAGCTTTCTGATATTTGGGAGCACATATGTATTCTATTTATTTTATCAATTCATCAGGTAGGCTTTAAAATTTGGAATTGTATGGCTTTTGAATTTTGGCTCTCTGTAATTCAGAGTTCAATTTGTCAACAGTTGCATATTCAACATTATTCACATTGCAAAAGTAATCTGTGATATGACAAGAGCACATTTCCCATTATATTAAAATGGTTGCATCTAAGACAAATTATGCCAATAATTCAAAATAAATTAAAATTCGTTTATGAAATGTTCAAATGGAAACACTGTCACAGGGAAAAATGTCACCTCACCTACTTTCACCACTGAACTGGAAACTTAAAGTTATAGATCAAAGTGAAAATTTTAACTACTTTAACTTTTTTTTTTTTATTGCTTAAAGTATTACAAAGGGTATTACATATGTGTCCATTTTATCCCCCCGCCCTAGACAGTCCCCTAGCCTCCCCTATCCCCCAATGTCTTATGTCCACTGGTTATGCTTATATGCATGCATACAAGTCCTTTAGTTGATCTCTTACCCCCCTACCTCCTGTCCCGCAACCCTCCCCGGCCTTCCTGCTGCAGTTTGACAATCTGTTTGAGGCAGCTCTGCCTCTGTATCTATTATTGTTCAAAAGTTTATAATGGTCTCTATTATCCATGAATGAGTGAGATCATGTGGTATTTTTCCTTCATTGACTGGCTTATTTCACTTAGCATAATGCTCTCCAGTTCCATCCATGACGTTGCAAATGGTAAGAGTTCCTTCCTTTTTAGAGCAGCATAGTATTCCATCGTGTAGATGTACCACAGTTTTCTAATCCATTCATCTACTGATGGGCACTTAGGCTGTTTCCAGATCTTAGCTATGGTGAATTGTGCTGCTATGAACATAGGGGTGCATATATCCTTTCTGACTGGTGTTTCTGGTTTCTTGGGATATATTCCTAGAAGTGGGATCACAGGGTCAAATGGGAGTTCCATTTTCAGTTTTTTAAGGAAACTCCATACTGTCTTCCATAGTGGCTGCACCAGTCTGCATTCCCACCAGCAGTGCACAAGTGTTCCTTTTTCTCCACATCCTCTCCAGCACTTGTCGTTTGTTGATTTGTTGATGATAGCCAGTCTGACAGGTGTGAGATGGTACCTCATTGTTGTTTTGATTTGCATCTCTCGGATGATTAGTGACTTTGAGCATGTTTTCATATGTCTCTTGGCTTTCTGAATGTCCTCTTTTGAAAGGTGTCTATTTAGGTCCTTTGCCCATTTTTTGATTGGATTGTTTATCTTCCTTTTGTTAAGTTGTATGAGTTCCCTATAAATTTTGGAGATTAGGCCCTTATCAGATATGACATTGGCAAATATGTTTTCCCACACAGTGGGTTTTCTCGTTGTTTTTTTGATGGTTTCTTTTGCTGTGCAGAAGCTTTTTATTTTGATGTAGTCCCATTTGTTCATTTTCTCTTTCGTTTCAAGTGCCCTAGGAGCTGTATCAGTGAAGAAATTGCTTTGGCATATGTCTGAGATTTTGTTGCCTTTGGATTCTTCTAGAATTTTTATGGTTTCCTGTCGTACATTTAAGTCCTTTATCCATTTTGAGTTTATTTTTGTGTATGGTGTAAGTTGGTGGTCTAGTTTCATTTTATTGCATATATCTGTCCAATTTTCCCAACACCATTTATTGAAGAGACTATCTTGGCTCCATTGTATGTTCTTGCCTCCTTTGTCAAATATTAATTGAGCATATTGGTTCGGGCCGATTTCTGGGCTCTCTATTCTATTCCATTGATCTATATGCCTATTCTTGTGCCAGTACCAGGCAGTTTTGAGAACAGTGGCTTTGTAATACATCTTGATATCTGGTATTGAGATCCCACCTACTTTGTTCTTTCTCAGGATTGCTGCAGCTATTCGGGGTCTTTTTTTATTCCAGATGAATTTTTGGAGAGTTCGTTCTAGATCTCTGAAGTATGCCGTTGGTATTTTAATGGGAAGTGCGTTGAATTTATAGATTGCTTTGGGTAGTATGGACATTTTAATGATGTTGATTCTACCAATCCATGAACACGGTATGTTCTTCCATCTGTTTATGTCTTCCTCTATATCTTTTTTCAACGTCCTGTAGTTTTCTGAGTAGAGGTCTTTTACCTCTTTAGTTAAGTTTATTCCTAGGTAGCTTAATTTTTTTGGTGCGATGGTAAACGGGATTGTTTTTATAATCTCTCTTTCTGAAAGTTCACTATTGGTGTATAGAAATGCCTCGGATTTCTTGGGGTTAATTTTGTATCCTGCTACATTGCCAAATTCATGTATTAAGTCCAGTAGCTTTTTGATGGAGTCTCTAGGGTTTTGTATGTATAATATCATGTCATCTGCAAATAAGGACAGTTTTACTTCCTCTTTTCCAATTTGGATGCCTTTTATTTCTTCTTCTTGCCGAATTGCAATGGCTAACACTTCCAGTACTATGTTGAACAGGAGTGGTGAGAGGGGGCATCCCTGTCTTGTTCCTGTTCTTAGGGGAAATGGTGTTAGTTTTTGTCCATTGAGTATGATGTTGGCTGTGGGCCTGTCATATATGGCTTTTATTATGTTGAGGTATGATCCTTCTACTCCCACTTTGCTGAGAGCTTTTATCAAAAATGGGTGTTGAATTTTGTCAAATGCTTTTTCTGCATCAATTGATATGACCATGTGGTTTTTTTCTTTCAATTTGTTTATGTGATGTATCACGTTTATTGATTTACGGATATTGTACCATCCTTGCATCCCTGGGATAAATCCTACTTGGTCATGGTGTATGATTTTTCTGATGTACTGCTGGATCCGATTTGCTAAGATTTTGTTGAGGATTTTGGCATCTATGTTCATGAGGGATATTGGCCTGTAATTCTCTTTCATTGTGTTGTCTTTACCTGGTTTTGGTATTAGGGTGATGCTGGCTTCATAGAATGAGCTTGGAAGTGTTCCTTCCTCTTGAATTTTTTGTAGTAGTCTGAGGAGGATAGGTTTTAGTTCTTCCTTGAATGTTTGGTAAAACTCCCCTGTGAAGCCGTCTGGTCCTGGGCTTTTGTTTGCTGGAAGCTTTTTGATGACTGCTTCAATTTCTTCCATAGTTATTGGCCTGTTGAGATTTTTAGATTCTTCCTGATTGAGTTTTGGAATGTTGTATTTTTCTAGGAATTTGTCCATTTCCTCCAGGTTGTCTAGTTTGTTGGAGTAGAGCTGTCCGTAGTATTTTTTAACAATCATTTGTATTTCTGTGGGTTCTGTTGTTATTTCGCCTCTATCGTTTCTGATTTTGTTTATTTGGGTCCTCTCTCTTTGCTTCTTGGTGAGTCTGGCTAGATGTTTGTCAATCTTGTTTATCCTTTCAAAGAACCAGCTCTTGGTTTCATTGATTTTCTGTATTGTTTTTTTGGTCTCTATGTCATTTATTTCTGCTCTAATCTTTATTATCTCCTTCCTTCTGCTCACTCTGGGGTTTTCTTGTTGCTCTCTTTCTAATTCTTTGAGTTGTAGAGTTAGATGATTTACTACCATTTTTTCTTGTTTTTTGAGATAGGCCTGTAGAGCAATAAACTTCCCTCTCAGGACTGCTTTCATTGTGTCCCATAGGTTTTGGATTGTTGTGTTTTCATTGTCATTAGTTTCCAGGATGTTTTGAATTTCTTCTTTGATTTCATTGGTAACCCAATCAATATTTAATAGCATGCTATTCAGCTTCCAGGTGTTTGAGTATTTTGGGTTGTTTTTATTGTAGTTTATTTCTAATATTATGCCATCGTGGTCTGCGAAGACGCTTTTTATGATTTCAATTTTCTTGAATTTGGGGATACTTTGCTTGTGACCCAATATATGGTCTATTTTTGAATATGTCCTATGAGCATTTGAGTAGAATGTATATTCCCTGGCTTTCGGGTGAAGTGTTCTGAAGATGTCTATTAAGTCCATCTGATCTAGTGAGTCATTTAGGATTGCTGTATCTTTGCTGATTATTTGTCTAGAAGACTTATCCAGTGCTGTCAGTGGTGTATTAAAGTCCCCTACAATGATTGTAATGTTGTCGATCTCTCCTTTGATATCTTCCAGGAGTTTTTTTTATGAATTTGGGTGCTCCTGCATTGGGTGCATATATGTTTACCAGGGTTATATCTTCTTGTTGTATTGATCCCTTTAGTATTATGAAGTGGCCTTCCTTATCTCTTGTTATGGCCTTCACTTTGAGGTCTATTTTGTCCGATATAAGTATTGCTACCCCAGCTTTCTTTTCCTTTCCATTTGCCTGAAAGATATTTTTCCATCCTTTCACTTTCAGTCTGTGTGAGTCCCTTCTAATGAGGTGGGTTTCTTGTAGACAGCAGATGTATGGGTCATGTTTTTTTATCCATTCAGCCACTCGATGTCTTTTGTTTGGAGCATTTAGTCCGTTTACGTTTAAAGTTATTATTGAAAGGTACTTGTTTGTAGGCATTTCTGTTTTTGTGTGGCTGTTTTCTTTCTGAGCTTTTTATTTCTTATTTTTATACCAGTCCCTTTAGCATTCCTTGCATTGCTGGCTTGGTGGTGATAAACTCCCTTAGCCTTTTTTTGTCTGTGAAGCTTCTTATTTCCCCTTCAAGTTTGAATGATAGCCTTGCTGGATAGAGTATTCTTGTATTTAGTCCTTTGCTTTGCATCACTTTGTAAATTTCCGTCCATTCTTTTCTGGCCTGATGTGTTTCTGTTGAGAAATCATTTGACAATCTAATGGGAGATCCCTTGTATGTAACTTTCCGTCTCTCTCTTGCAGCCTGTAAGATTCTCTCTTTGTCATGAACATTTGCCATGGTAATTATGATGTGTCTTGGTGTGGGTCTTTTCGGGTTCACCTTGTTTGGGACTCTCTGGGCTTGTGTGACTTTTTTCTTCCCCACCTCGGGGAAGTTTTCTGATATTATTTCTTCTAATAGGTTTTCTAATCTTTGTTCATCCTTCTGTTGTTCTGGTACCCCTATTATTCGTATGTTGTTTCGTTTCATGTTGTCCCAAAGCTCCCTTAGGCTCTCCTCCTGTCTTTTCATTTTTTTCTCCAATTGCAGTACGTTTTGGGTGTGTTTTGCTTCCTTGTCTTCTAAATCACTAATTCAGTCCTCCGCTTCTCCTAGTCTACTGTTGATACTTTCAATGGAGTTTTTCATTGCAGCTATATCACTCTTCATTTCTTCTTGGGTCTTACTTAAGTTGTTGATTTTTTCATCTGTTTCTTCTAGCTTCTTCCATATGTTATCGATTTTTTCATCTGTTTCTTCTTGCTTCTTGGAGAGGTTGTCGATTTTTTCCTCCATCCGGTTTATGCACTCTAGGACCCTTATTCTGAATTCTTTTTCTGTCATGTTGCATGCCTCTGTATTACTTAGCTGCTTTTCTGGAGAGTCCTCCTTCTCTTTCCTTTGGGGGTTTCTTTGTCTACCCATGTTTGATCTCGCTGACATATCTAGACGTTGTGTCATTCAGTGGCTGCTCCCTTGGTGGCAGTGACTCCTTGGTCTGTGGTTGCTCTTTGGGCGGTTGCGGTAGCAGCTGCTCTTCAGTTGGCAGCAGCTCCTCTGGTGGGTGCTGTTCACAGCTGTGGTGGCTCTTCTGGCTGGTGGGGCAAGGTTTCACGTACAGCTGCTGTTCCTCAGCAGAGGGTGTGGTGCTCAGGTGGTTGCTGTTGCTTGGATCTGCTGCGTTGATTTAAAGGCACAAAATACAACACAACAAGGCACCACGTACCAGGCACTATACACAAATATATTCACGATATGAATAACCCCAAATAAAGGTGACCACATGAATTAAGAGAATTAGGGGATAAGGAAGAAGGAAGAGAAAAAGAGAAAAGAGAAAAAAGAAAAGAAAATTAGGGACCAAAAAAAGGAGTGCAAAAATGAAATTGGGAAAAAGGAGGGGGGAAAATAAAAGCGAGAAAAGAAAAGAAAAGAAAAAAAAAAGAGCGAAAAGAGAGAATGAAGTGGAAGAGGGGAAGAGACTTTTTTATATGAGGAGAATACTCCTATAGAACAGCCATTAATCCCAACAAATTCCAGCAACAGCTCCCTGGAGATGAATTCAAACTAGAAACAACCAATAATATAATGATGAAAATAGAATGGAGAACACTAATCCCAAAATAAAATAAAGAGAAAATAAAATGGCACTTTAAAAAAAATGGTAAAATGGTAGCAGTAATAATACTGGTTAAAAATAAGAAGGTAGTAATTAAAAGGGTAAAATCAGGTGATGGAAAAAAGAAGAAAAAAAAGAAACAAAAGAAGAAGAAAAGAAAAAAAGAAAAAAAAAGAAAAAAAATTGGTTTCTTAGTTAAAAGGTGAAAAAAGGAAAAAAAAAATATTGCAGTAGTGAAGGTCGTTCGGTTCTTCTATTCTTCAGTGTGGCTCGCCTTCGACCTGCCAGGTATTCAGGAGAGTGTTGAGTTTCCCTGCGATACACTGTTCCTCTGTGTTGTAAACCACAGTCCTTATTTTAAAGCAAGCCGCATTTGTTTCCCAGACTGCCTTATTTTGTGTTTAGCAAAGAGTCAGTTTGTGGGTCAGCCTCTGGGTGGCAGTGTTCTGGGGTTGGCCTCTGAGGCTATAGGGCCTCTCTGTCCAGTGGAAGTTCACTGCCCAGAGCTGGCTGCGTAATAGTTAGTTACCGGCGCTGTGTTGTTGCTGGGATTGAAAATCCCTCTATAGGCCAGACCCTGTTAACTCCCAGGGACTGATCAGGTTATTTTAATCCTTGATCTCCTACAGGGTGGAATCTGGGTGTGGCTGTGCTCCTTGCCTGGGGGCTGGGGGGAGGAGTCTCACTCTCCGGAAAGAATGGCTGCCTCAGCCCTGGGCTCAGGGGTGTCTCAGCACTCAATTCGCTGCCACCTCTCCCTGCCCCCCTTCTCTCCTCAGTCTCTCCCCAGATTCCACTCCTCCACACACTCTCCCTCTCTTCAGCACAGGTGAGTGTCTGTATCCGAAATGTCCCATGAACAGGATTCAGTGAAAACAAACAAACAAACGCCGGCCGCGGAAACGGGGAAGGCTTGGTTTCTGTAAGCTTCTTCTCTTACAGGGACTGCATGGTATGGTCAGCTCTTCAGGCTGCCCCCTTTAGGCTCAGTCCTCTGTGATCACAGACCCAGCTCTCAATTCCCCCGGCAGCGCCAGGAATCCCGCGGTTCTCCTTTCCCCCGTCAGGGGCTGTGCCTGTCCCAAGGACGCGGCTGTCTGCCACGCGGTCTCCCTCCGACTCTCTGGGCTCAGAGGTCTGGCAAACTTTCCTGCCCAAATCCCTGGTTTTTTTTACCTTTCCAGGGGAGTTCTGCTCTTCCCGGCTGCAAACCGTCTCGCCAGCTGAGGAATTTCGCCAATTCGGGTGGATGTTACTAGTTTCAGCTGCTCACTCCATTTGCTCAGGGACACGACCTGGGAGGCGTCTGCCTATACCGCCGCCATCTTCGGAATCAACTACTTTAACTTTTAAAAATGATAATTTATTATAATTATTTGTGATGTTGCTGTAGATAAAGATGAGTGGCTAAGTCATAATTTCAAAGATAAAAAATAGAAGTACAGAGAAGAGGGAACTACCAATGACAAAGCTGTCACAATGCTTGGTTTTGAATGTGGGCACTGAAGGGTTAAATTGACAAGGCTTAGGACCTTAAAGGTAAAACTTTCCGTACCTCTTGACAGCCTCAGATATTCCCAGCAAGTTTTTGAAAATAAAGAGATGCATTTCTAATATCATGTAGTATCTATGATCAACCTACTGTTAGGTGCTTGGGGGATCAAGTCTTACAATTTGCCTGACCTGAAGCACAACTCTGGATAGTACACCTCAGATTGTACTTTCAGCACTCAAATAAGCTTATGTTTATTTATTCTTTGAAAAACAATCAAACTATTTGTGTGAGTCAGGAGACCATCCTTGAAATATCTGATGTCTAGGGTGGAAAGAGACCACTTTAGTAAGCAAAATAGATTGATGCTTTAAGAAATCAGCAACTGGATGGGGAAGGCCTGATTAAGATACTTGCAGGCATTTCGATATTGTAGATGACATTTGTGGGGATCAGTAGTCAAGGTTCAATAAACCTCTAAGTTCTTGGTTACGTTGAGTCAGCCAAAGGTTATTTGAGAAGTAACTCCAAATTGGTTTCTATTCCCAATAAGTATATTTGTCTTTGCATTTCTTTACTCTGTTGCACATTTGGAGGTGAAAAAGCAACCGTGTGTGTAGAATGTACCAATGTTTTCTCATTTCTCCTTAGATTACCAATAAAAGCAAAGAATCAACATGGGCCTTAATTCACAGTGTGAGTGATGCTTTTTCTGGCTGGTTGTTGATGCTACTTATTGGGCTTTTATCAGGTATGGTAAACTCTGTTAGTTTTCTAAATAAATCTCACAAAATTTTGGTATGCCCCTACCCTAAGTCATGGCTTGAGTTGAGTGCTGTGCTTTACAATTCTCCTACATGAAATAAATTGCTGATGGATCTTTTGGAAGCTCATGTCCCTGCGGTAAAGGGATACTAATACAGTGGGGCCTTGATTTACGAGTTTAATTTGTTCTGTGACGGAGCTCGTAACTCAAATTACTCGTATGTCAAATCAACAGTGAACGAGTGAAACACATGATGCTGGGCTGATGTTGTGGCGTTCACTGTGACGTTCGCTGCGCCAACTAGCGGTGGGGTATCTGAAGCTGGCTCGTAACCAGAATTTTAGCTCGCAAGTCAAAGCAAAAAATCGGCCGAGAGACGGCTTGTATCTCGAAAAACTCATTAGTCGGGACACTCGTAAGTCAAGACCCCACTGTACCTGCATCTCCTGTAAATAAATGATGTTAAATGAGGAATTACATTTAAATGCATTTGTACACCATAAAATGATGTATTCACTTTAAGGTGTTGTTAGCATGGCATTTCAGTGCTTGTCTTGAGGAAGAGCCCTTCTATTGAAAACAGTTTTTTTTAAAAAAATACATAGTACATGGGGTTTAGGAGAGAAGATGTAGAAGAGGACTTCCTGAGGCATTTTTCTAGCTATTTCTTAAACATCTACTCTCTCAATTGGGGATAAAGAAAAGCATGTAATACATGGCTCATATCCTGAAGGAGTTTACCATCTCATTCTTTCATGGTGGCTGAGAAGTGGGCTGCTACCACCTTTCCCTATCATCTCCATCAACCTCCCAAGCCACTGCAAGTAATATATGATCTAACTTGGAATATTACACTTGCTATGCAAATACAGCTTTAAAGCAAGTTCCCAAGCAGGTTTCCCCTCCTCTGGAGGAAGCAAAAAGCCAAGAATACCTGGCAGAGATGCTAAGAGATGTTGCCTTACGGCATTAAAAGATGGGTGCAGGAAGATCTGGAATATTGAGTTAAAATGAATGTTAAGTGGGAAACCTGAAGTTGGATGAGATGAGATAGCAATTAACAGCACAGGCTCTAGTTTGTGGCTGCCTAGATTTGAATCCAAGTCTCACCACTTGCTAGTTTTGGGACTTTTGGCAAGTTTCTGAACCCTTGAAAACTTCAGTTTACTGATCTATAAAGTGGGGATAATGAGTATCTATTATTACTCATTTGTGCGGAGATTAAATGAGGTAGAACGCACATAGCACTCAGCACAGAGCCCAGTTATTAATGGTACCTCTGCTGCTGTTACCTAGAGATAATTCATAAGCCATGGAGTATACGATGATTGCTGCAATGAGGAATGTCTCAGCCATAGCTGGATTTTCAAAGATGATCTAGGGCAGTGGTCAGCAAACATTTTCTCTTAAGGATCAGATAGTAAATATTTTAGGATTTATGGGCCAAATGGTTTCTGTAGCATGACAACAGCCATAGACATTAGGTAAACAAATGAGTGGGGCTGTGACCAAGAAAAACTTTATTTACAAACACAGAGGCAGATTTGACTCTCAGACCATAATTTGCCACCCTGTGGTCTAGGGTGTTAATGGTGCCCCTTCTGCCTTGCACAGGAGAGAGAACATGGTCTGGCCAGTTTAGAGCTAGCTAATAATAGATTAAGTGATCTGTAGCCTCAAGTGTTGCAGAGATGCCGAAGAAAAGGAAGAGGACTGAGAAAAGGTTATATAGTTTAGCAGTTAAGAGAATACCAATGACCTCGAAAAACCATCTCAGGCAAATATTAGGGGCGAGAGTTCAGGGGGAGGCAAGCAGTATGAAAGTTTTGGAGATATTTGGTGTTCATTGGAAGTAGAGAAGGGACAAAAGCTTGAAGTGGTAAGAAGGACAAGGGAAAGCATTTTATGAAATTTGTAACCAGGGAAGAAGGAGCTGGTTGGGAAAAGGAGAGGTAGAAGTAGAAGGGAAGACAGCATTGAGGGTACCCATGTTAGTTAGGATAAGACATGCATGCATGAAATTACTAGAGAACAAGCCAAACTCTATAACATCATGTTAATTTTCGGAATCCAGGCAATAATTGCAATAAGAGTTAGAAGGAAGAGAAGGTGGGAGCTGGAGTGGCCAAGAATAGGTATCAAACTGTGTTAGATTTGACTAGGTTATTCAAGTATGTAAATAACCTGTGTTAACACTTTTAGCACCTACCAAAACATACACATGGCATGGCCTCCAGCCTGTTGGAATGTAAATGTAATATCCTCAACTTTTTTATGTATTTCTTGTCACTAGGTGAATATTTTTCTTTCCCTCATACACACAGGGTATTTTGTTTTTAAGCATTAGGGAGCTAAAATAGAAGCAGTGTGTCTGAATGCAGGAACAGTCTAGGGATTCAGGGGCTGTGAATTTTATGATGTCTTTACTATTTCCCTAAAGTTATATTCTAGACCATTTAATTTTTGTATGCCATAATTTCTTCATTTGGGTGACAGAAATGATAAAAGGCCAAAATTGAAAGTACTATAGCTATCTTAACCCTATCAGTCTATTAGCCATAGTACCTAAGTTCCCATTCACTATTACTTTCTCACATTTTTCTTTGATGAATATTATATATATAATATTGTTTGCTCCTCTCACTAAGAAAACTTCAGAGTGTTTATGTCCTAGGCCAGTGATGGCGAACCTATGACACGCGTGTCAGAGGTGACACGCGAACTCATTTTTTTGGTTGATTTTTCTTTGTTAAATGGCATTTAAATATAGAAAGTAAATATAAAAAAATATAAGTCTTTGTTTTACTATGGGTGCAAATATCAAAAAATTTCTCTATGTGACACGGCACCAGAGTTAAGTTAGGGTTTTTCAAAATGCTGACACGCCAAGCTCAAAAGGTTCGCCATCACTGTCCTAGGCTCAGGAGGCTTTAATACGTCTACAGCTTCATGTAACCTTCTATGTGGGTGCTTTTATAAATTTAGTTCCCTTAGCCTAGAATGCCTTCCTGCCCATTGCTCAAATTCCCTTGTCCACGGGACAAAATCACTATCAAGACTGAGTCCTTCACCCATAGCCTTCATCGGTTCCCCTCCCCACGCCATCTTAAATAAGATATCATATCATATTCTTTAATATGGTCAATTCAAGTTTTCTCAGTCTTAACGTATATGTGAGAATAAAATAATCTTTAATAAACTTGACTGTCTTTATGGATCAGTATTCATTAACTCTAAGTCAAAGCAGAATCTTTCTTTTTTAAAAACTATAATTCTTTTAAAAAATATTTTTATTGATTTCAGAGAAGAGGGGAGAGTGAGAGAGAATGATGAGAGAGAATCATTGACAGGCTGCCTCCTGCATGCCCCCAACTGGAGATCGAGCCTGCAACCCAGGCATGTGCCCTTTACCAGAATCGAACCTGGGACCCTTCAGTCTGCAGGCCGATGCTCTATCCACTGAACCAAACCGGCTAGGGCCAAAGCAGAATCTTTCCATGTAAATCAGTGGAAGGTCAAATCTATTTGCTCCTTGTTCCCACTCAACCTCTTTGCTCTCCCTTAAGTTTCCCCTATATAGAAATTCTATTGACACAGTGTTTAATGTAGACAGTGTTTTGTTTTGTTTTTCCCTCTTGAACAGGCATTTAATAATAAGTGAAATCTATTAGAGACACTAGGTGAAAATCAAGCAGACAGACAAGCAGGAAGAAGTTGCAGATGGAATGGGGAAAAGTATATGTTTGTCCATTATTTTTATCCCTTTTCTGTCATTTGCTCTAAAATTTTTGGCCCTTCCTTCTCTCCCTTCAAATCAGGTTCCCTAGCTGGCTTGATAGACATCTCTGCTCATTGGATGACAGACTTAAAAGAAGGTATATGCACAAAAGGATTGTGGTTTAACCATGAACACTGTTGCTGGGACTCTGATCAGGTCACTTTTGAAAACAAAGACAAATGCCCAAAGTGGAATAGCTGGTCTCAGCTTCTCATCAGCACAGAAGAGGTAACGTGTAGTGAAGATTTTGGAACCACTGACTTTTATTCTTACATTTCCTTCTTTTCTTATACTGTACTCATGGTAACTGTGGACTCTCCCCTTGTTTTCCTTTTCATGAAAACGGGAACCAGTGCCAGCTTCCTTTTTCTGTGGTTTTAAATTCAGTCCTATTTCCATCTCTTCTGGCATGTGGAAGTGTTTGATGCTTACACAATTACTTAACATTTTTTGCTTGTTTTAAACAAGCTTATTGTTTCTTCTTGGTTTTAGTACACAGTGTGACTGAATCTATCTTTCTCTAATAATTTCAGTAGAAAAGTCAGAGATAACCAACAGGAAAGCTACAATTTCTAACAAAGGATGAACTGGGTTATAAATGTTTATTGTGTAGATTCCAAAAGTAATTTCCCCCTGAGCATTAAATTACAACATTAAAAAACTATGGTATGTATACTTTGCTCAAAATGCTCTAATGACACCCTTAGTATAAGTAAAAACTTATGTTCTGAATATGAAAAAATCTATATCAAAACAACAGAAACCCAGGAATAAACTTACCCCAGTCCCATTTTGAGATTGTCAGTATTTTCATTTGTCCTTCTCTGCTAGCTTATATTTTTCAAAGAAGTATTAACTTTGTTTTGCAGTTTTTTGCCTTTCTGTTACCACTTGGTTGTAAGTTAGATCTTTCCTACTAAAAACAAAAACAGAAAATAAAACTGAACAAAGCAACTGTCAATTCCCAATTTCACTCTGACTTCTACTAATTAAAACAGGTACTATCTCAGCTCACTACTCATCCACTCTGTTGGTGAAGTGAGGGGGATAACACTAGGACATATGTTTGTACTTTTATTTTATTTATTTATTTTTAATATATTTTTGTTGACTTCAGAGAGGAAGGGAGAGGGAGAGAGAGAGATAGAAACATCAATGATGAGAGAGAATCATTCATCAGCTGCTTCCTGCACGTCCCCTACTGGGGATCGAACCCACAACCCAGGCATGTGCCCTGACCAAGAATGGAGCCATGACCTCCTGGTTCATAGGTCGATGCTCCACCACTGAGCCACACTGGCCGGACTGTTTGTATTTTTTAAGATTCATGTAACGTTTTATTTATTTTTTATTTTAAATCTTTATTGTTGAAAGTATTACATATACTTTCTTCCCACCTACTTTGGTCCACATTTGAAATGGGGTGCGTGCATGCACACACACACACACACACAGAGTTAGTCAAGGGAAAAATGGGTAGGAGAATAATAAAGTCAGGAATAACAGTGTTTATGTGTATATATGGCTGTGCATATTTTGGTTTGGGGAACAGAGTTCAATAACAGTGGTAAATATATACTGTGTGTATGAGAGGGTTTAAATCTAAGCTCAAATGGGGTCAGCATGCCAGAGAATAGGTGAAACCACAGGATAAATGCTATGTGCCTTCCCAAATATCAGTCTTTCCTACATATTTGGCAGATTTTTTTCTCCTAAATTAAATGTAAACAATCATTAAAAAGAAATGCAAAATTCCCATGTTTGTTAAGATAAAACATAATTTCTATTTCAGCTCTGCTCTGGGTGCCCCCATCCCCTGCCCTGATATCTCTATTTACTTTCCTAGATTAGCAGTACTTGGGTAGAAAAATTTGAGAAGCACTGGAATTTAGGGTGAGTGTGTGTGTGTGTGTGTGTGTGTGTGTGTGTGTGTGTGTGTATCTTATGTGTGTATGATTCCCTTGCTTTAGAAAGCTTATGTTTGAAGTATAGATTCATAGGAAGTTGCAAAACAGTATATAGGGAGGTCTCCTCTATCTTTCACCCAGCCTCTCTTTTCCCAATGCTAACATCTTATCAAGTATAGTATAATAACAAAACAAGGAAATTGACAATGGTACAATCCACCGACCTTATTTCTTCTGTTTTACATGCATCGATGTGTGTGTGTGTGTGTGTGTGTGTGTGTGTGTGTGTGTGTGTGTGTGGTCTCCTGCAATTTTATTACATGTATAGATTTATATAACCACCACCACAGTTGAGATATGGAACTATTGTTGCATCACCACAGGGCCCATCCCTGCTAACCCTTTATAACTGGGAATATTTTTAAGTGTTCCAACCATAACTTTCAAACTGGAGCTTGAGATTTTTCAAGTGAAAAATTTATCTGGCTCTCCTTTTTATGAACAAAATCCTTGCTTGGGGAAAAAGTCTTCTGGGTTTTAAGAGTTCTCTTGCCAAGAACTTGGCCTCCGGGTCTCTGCCTCTAGCCAATTTCAGCTATGTTCCCTTTCTCCCCCCTTTCCTCTTTGTTTCCAATTTCTGGAGTCCTCTTCCCTAGCTACATTCCAAAGGCAAAGAGAGAACAAATATATGTTTCTCTGAGGGAGTAAGATAATGGAAAATCTGTGTCAAAATTATAATTCAGAAAAAACCTATCCATTTTGGTTCTCCTTGTCTAGGTCAGCAATTTTTTAAATAGTATAATGTTTTAAAAAGTCAAAAGTTCATTGAGTTTTGTGTAATTTGATTGAATTTCAACTTCTAATATGTATATCAGCATGCATAATCTCCTTATGTTCAAAATAGGTTTTTTTATGGGACATAACTATTTGCAAGCCCTTTAATGTTGGTGATTTCTTATTGGTGGTTAAAATTAGATTTATTTTCTCACAGACTTTGTTATCATAGGGTAGTTTCAAAAGTATATTACCTTGATTCTATTTTCTCCATTTAAAAAATAGCTATTGCCATTTTATTCTTTGGGATAGCTGTCATTTTACTGGTTTTGTTTTATGGTCAGAGTCTGAAACTTCCTACTACATAAACTTGTTGCTGAATCTGTAGTAGGAAAATTCTCTCAAAGATGTGATCATTCTCTACAGAACATAATTGTGTATTTTAAGAAAAACACCCATGAATTTTAGACACTATACCTTCTATGAGAATTTGACACCGAGGTAGGTTGCCAAAGGTGAATTTAATGAAACTTTAGAGCCAACCCGAACTTCAAATGTGTAGCCAAGGTCCTGCCATTTGAATAGAAGGCCTGTTAATCTTAATAAAGTTGACTTTAAAAAAACATATTTTTATTGATTTTAGAGAGGAAAGGAGAGGGAGAGAGAAACCTCAGTGATGAGAGAGAATCATTATTTGGCTGCCTTCTGCATGCCCCCTCCTGGGGATTGAACCCGCAACCTGGGCACATGCCCTGACCAGGAATTGAACCCTGAGCTCCTGGTTCATAGGTCGACGCTCAACCACTGAGCCAGGCCGGCCAGGCTACAGTTGACTCTTGAACAATACAGTTTTGAACTGTGCACTGTGCAGGTCCACTTATATGCAGAATTTTTTCAATACTACTAAATATAATCAGCCCTTTGTGTTCTCCTTCATGGATTCAGACCTCCAGGGATTCAACCAACCACAGATGGAACACAGTATTTTCATATTACCATCCGTGGTTTCCTAACTGCATATCAAAGATAGTTTTTTATTTTCAGTTGGTTTAATCCATGGATGTGAAGGGCCAACTGTAGTTAAGTTTGGGGGGAGTCAAAAGTTATATGGGGAATCTAAAGAACAAAATAAATGAACAAAATAGAAACAGACTCATAGATACAGAGAACAGAGTGGTAGTTGCCAGAGGGGTTGGGGCACTAGGTGAAAAAGACGAAGGGATTAAGAAGTACAAATGGAGCCCTAACCGGTTTGGCTCAGTGGATAGAGCGTCGGTCTGTGGACTGAAAGGTCCCAGGTTCGATTCCGGTCAAGGGCATGTACCTTGGTTGCGGGCACATCCCCAGTGGTAGGTGTGCAGGAGGCAGCTGATCGATGTTTCTCTCTCATCGATGTTTCTAACTCTCTATCCTTCTCCCTTCCTCTCTGTAAAAAATCAATAAAATATATTTTAAAAAAAGTACAAATGGATAATTTCAGAATAGTTGCAGGGATGGAAATTACAGATAGAGAATATAGTCAATAATATTCTAATAACTATGTATAGGGCGAGGTGGGTAATTGAAATATTGGGGGATCACTTTGTAAAGTATATGGTTGTCTATCTGCTCTGCTATACACCTGAAACTAATACAAAGTAATACTGATGTAAACTATAATTGAAAAATTTAAAAAAGTTATATGGGGATTTTCAGCTGCTTAGGGGTCAGTATCTGTTTAAGGGTCAACTGTACCGTTGGCTACAAAACCTATCAAACCACTCATATAGAAAGTGAATTTGCTTCAGGAATTTGTTTTCCCTGGTTCTTGTTGATCCTTAGAAGCCATTGTCAGTTTCTTTTGGGTGTAGCAAGCCCTTCATTTTCAGAAGCAAATGGACTGACAGTGTTTTTAGTAGAATCTTTGCTGATAATCGGGAAACATCTTAAGCAATTTAATATTAGGTTTTTTCTCTCTGACTTCCTCTCCTGAAAATCTATTACTCAGAAGAGCTGCATGCCTTACTGAGGCTGTCTGAGCTAACAAAACTTCTTTTCTTTTTTCCCTGCTTTAGGGAGCCTTTGCCTACATAGTCAATTATTTCATGTACGTCCTCTGGGCTCTACTGTTTGCCTTCCTTGCCGTGTCTCTTGTCAAGGTGTTTGCACCTTATGCCTGTGGCTCTGGAATCCCTGAGGTAAGTCTCTAAAATGGCTTATAAATGGTAACAATAATGAATCCTTTTTGGTTAAAATCCTTTAATATGTATACCACAATATGAATATTAAACAAGGTTAGATCTTGAGGCAATCTAGGGCCTCTCTAGGTGTTCCCTAAGTTTCCTCCCCACCTGAGCCACCTAGATATTAAAAGGAGTTGATTCCTAGCCTCCTGTGGGTTACTGGAGAACTAGGCCCCTGAAGACCTCTACCACTCCCTACTCAAGAAGCTTCCCAGGGTAGATCTCAAGATTCTGGCCTGAAAATGTAGTGGTATTGTCAACTTTGTTATAGCAGAATAAATAAAGCTATTTGGCTGTATTTTCTACAATCTGATTTGGGCTAGAAAAAAGGGTGATTAAAACCCTGTTTCTAATTATTTTTGATTTAGATTGCTTGACATTGATTGAAACCACTGAGATTTAAGGTTACCCAGATGACCTTGCCCCTCTCTGTTTCCTGACGAAGTCACAGTTACAAATTTTTCTGGCAGGGAATCAAGGCTATATTAGTCTGTAAGGAAAATACCTTCCCTTTCCACCTCCCCTTCATATACACACTCTCATACTTATAATACTCCCTTGCCCAGCTATCACATGGCCAAAAAAGAAACAAGAAACATGAAAACTTAAAGAACAGTTCTCACTTTCTTGGGTTCCTGGCCTCCTTCCCAAACTAGGATCACTGTAGGTCTAGCATTTGTATGTTCAAAAGGTATAGTTTCTATAATGAGGTCCAGATTATTGCTTCTTAGTTTGGTTTACTTGCTTAGTCTATATCCAGTATTTCTGTGTTTGACCTGCAGATAAAAACTATCTTGAGTGGTTTTATTATTAGGGGCTACTTGGGTAAGTGGACCCTGATTATCAAAACCATCACGTTGGTGCTGGCAGTGTCTTCTGGCTTGAGCCTGGGCAAAGAGGGCCCTCTAGTGCACGTGGCTTGCTGTTGTGGGAACATCCTGTGCCACTGCTTCAACAAATACAGGAAGAATGAAGCCAAACGCAGAGAGGTAATAACAAACGGCCTTAACAGTCTCTCTCTCTCTCTCTCTCTCTCTCTCTCTCTCTCTCTCTCTCTCTCTCTCTTTCTTTCTCTGTTTGTTTATTTGTTTTGGGTGAAAACATAAATGGTAATTCCTAGGGATGAAAATTTGGGGATTCTACCAATGTTAATTCAAATGCCCTTTGACCTAGAAGTTCCACTTCTAGGAATTTATCCTACAGACATGCTAGCATGTGTGTGCTCAAAGATGTATGGGGATAGTCAGCGCATTATTTACCAATATAGCAAAAAGCTGAAATTATCACAATGTGCACAACAAGGGCCTGACTGAACAATCTTACATCCATACTATTGAAAACTATGCAACTTTTAAAAAGACTGAGATAGCCCTTTATATACTGACATGAAAGTATGGCCAGAGAACACTGTTAGGTTTTTTAAAAAACAATTTCAGAATAATGTATCTAGTATAATTTAATTAGTGTTTTTATTTATTATTATTATTTATTTAAAAATATTTTTATTGATTTTAGAGAAGAAGTGAGAGGGAGAGAGGGATAAAAACATCAATGATGAGAGAGAATCATTGATCAGCTGCCTCCTGCATGTCCCACACTGGGGATCAAGCCCACAACCCAGGCATGTGCCCTGACTGGGAATCAAACTGAGACCTCCTGGTTCACAGGTTGATGCTTAACCACTGAGCAACACTGGCTGGGCTAATTAATGTTTTTAATAGGTGTGTGTATGTGAACCTAGAAAGAAAATGTCTGTAAAGTGGTTTTACCCCAAACTGTTAAAAAAAAAATGTCTACTTCTAGTGAATGGGAAGTGAGGTGACAGTAAAGGTGAAGTAAGGACTTAAACTTTTTATTATATATAATTCTATACAATTGTGTGTAGTCTCTATTATAAATTAAGTTAAACAATAGAAGATTTTAAAAAAGAAGTCTATTCCTATGAAAGAATACACACTCAGCATTTGTTTCAGATGCCAGACTCTTCATGTTTTATTTCTACCTAACACCAAATGGCATTCAGCTCTGTGTCTTGGATCTCCCTCTGCCTTCTGTCTCAACCACGCTAAATTAGTTCCACCAAAGCGTCTCTGTAGGAGTTCTCATGTTGAGGATTTTGAGAAAGAAGAGCATTTTAGAAAAATGTTCCAGGTCATTGTTTACTTTTGTCCTGCTATAATTAGAGATTTAAGAAAATAATGGTTCTTGCTCTATTTTCCTTGAATTACAAAGAAATCACATATGGAATGGGTCAATACCAAGGCCATTCTATTATAAAGGGTTTCTCATAAAATTGGAACCTAGTGGTTTATTTTGAAAACAAAGGAAAAAAATTAAGAGCTAGAAGGAAACTCAAAGGTGTTGAAATTTTAAATATGAAATACATTTTTTTGTCTTTTGAGGCATTTTATTTGCATGTATGTATTACATCCCTAGAAAAAGAACCCCAGGATTTTCCCTCCTGTGTGTTTTCGTCTTGCTTCTTCATGGTTCATGATGCCCACTGTGGTTGTCAGTACAATGAAACCAAACTGACGGGACGGAAGCAAGTTGTTCTGCCATTTTTCTAGATCTTTGAGTTGCACATCAAATCTGGGGCTGATTACTCCACACTTGTTCAACCTGCCTGTGAGGTTCACAACAATTTTCCCAGCTCTGTGGTCATCAATAATTTCAAATTTGCCAATGTAACCATGCTTCATAATCACAGTCAGAAACCGGACGATGACTTTGGAGCATGGCCTGATGAGAACCTGGCGTTTGCCTCTCTTTTCGGCATTGTTGATACTCTTCAGAGCATCAGCCAGGACATTCATGCGCACCATTATGGAGGCACGGACTGATGGCGGAAAAAGCTGGAATACATATTGATAGTTCAAGGGGGGAAACTTCCTGGCAAGAGAGGAAAGCTAGAGAGAGACATATATATCTGAATGGTAGAGGAATATAAAGGTAGTATTAAGTTGGTGAAGTTGTTATATGGCAATAATGTTATATGGCAAAACTGTTTTTTCAGCTTTGACAAGAGTGAAATGTTGATTGTTGCTGGTTTTGCAGGGGTAGAGGTGACTTTGGAACTGTAGATTGCTAATTACTTTCATTCCATAAAATTAAAATTTTTTTGTTCAAATAATTTCTTATAAAATGAGAGGGGAGTTTGATTTGGCTGTTTCTCTGAACAGATGTAATATATTTCTCTAACTAGACTCATGAATATTTGAAGTTTTAGTTGACTTGCTATTGCTTATTTAGACTTTCCAGTTATTTTTTCCTGTTGATTGGCAGCAACCCTTTTGTGTCCCAGGGCCTGGTCAAAGTGGGCAGATGGTTGAATAAAATAAAGATTTGAAAAGTAAGGGCATAAACTCCACTCTACAACTTAAAATTATAGCAAACAAGCCAACTCGATTTTTCTCCCACGTAATTCATCCTAAACAGTTACTAAAATCCCCTTTCTCAAGTTCCATGTTGACTGTCATTCTTCTCAGATGAAAACCATTATAGCCATAAATTTCTAAGTCCTCCCCAGCTAGCTTCAAAGAGTTCACTCTTTCCTCCCTTTCGTTTCCCTTGGTCATCCTATACTCCCAGAGAAATCTGTTTACTTATTTTGCCAAGAACCATTTTATTCTTAAGAAACTCAGGGGAGGTGGGAGTAGGGGGGATGGAAAGAGATTATCCAAGGAACATATATGCATAACCCATGGACACAGATGATAATAATGTGATGAAGGCCTGGGGTGGGGTGGGGACTGGGTGGAGGGGGGGGCAAAGGGGAAAATGGGTGACATCTGTACTACTGTCAACAATTAAAAAAAGAAATGGTAACACATCCACAAAAAACCTCTCAATTTTTGTCTACTTTTTCTTTCAAATACTTCCTTACTACCCCAAATCATATTATCACTCCACAGCAACCAGAATCTGATGACAGGACTTTATCTTTCCATTACTTCTTGTGTTTGTCATGCTTTCCCCTTCCCTCTTAGCCCTTTATCTTTCCATACCTAAACATACATAGATCTTCTCTTTCCTTCAAAATATATTCCCAAACTTGCTTCTAGTTACCTCCTATTTCTTTTTCCATAGGTCACTAGACATGGAGTAGGACACATAGTATAGGAAAACTTAAATATCTATTATATGAATATTTGCAGCTCCTGAATAGCTGTGAACTAATTGTAACTTTAGTTTTGTGTCATTAGAACCTTCCTTAAAATTTAATTTAAGAAGTGTTTCTTTACAAAGAAAGTGTTATGTAAACACATCATTGAAAGTACTTCATTTAGGTGATGAATACAGACTCAAAGTCAGTTATGGAATTGTGTGTATTGAAGATGGGGGCATAATTTGGAATAAAGCATACCTAGATTGATTACAAATGAAAGACCATTTATTTATTACAGCATGTGAAATATGTGTTCAAAATCTAAATACAATGTTTGCTCTCAAAGTATAAATTGAACTTCATTTTTTTATAAACTGCATATGGAGCATGTAAAGTTTTTTTTAAAAAAAATGTTTAGTAGCCACTAGCACTCCTTTTAAAACTGTGATTGATGGTAGGAAAGTGGCATCATTCTATTGTTAATTTTGAGTTTTGGGTTGTAGGTCTTGTCGGCTGCAGCAGCAGCTGGTGTATCTGTCGCCTTTGGGGCACCTATTGGCGGAGTATTATTCAGCCTTGAAGAGGTAATACTTTTAACTATTTGCAGCACATGTGCATGCTTTTGTGTTGGGAATCATGGCTAGTGTCTATGTACGTGGTAGTCCCAAAGTGCTTTGCATAACTGAGTACTTTATCATGTGACCAGAGATCTCTGGGCAGTTTTCATTCTCAGTTCTTAATTCCTACAGCACCAACTTTTTACCTGAAACAGTTTCTGCATATTGACTGAGTTTGCCTTTCCCCCTTCTCTCTCACAGGTCAGCTACTATTTCCCCCTCAAAACACTGTGGCGTTCATTCTTTGCTGCCTTGGTGGCAGCATTTACCCTACGCTCCATCAATCCATTTGGGAACAGCCGTCTGGTTCTATTTTACGTGGAGTTTCACACCCCATGGCATCTCTTTGAGCTTGTGCCATTCATTCTGCTGGGCATATTTGGTGGTCTGTGGGGAGCTTTATTTATCCGCACAAACATTGCCTGGTGTCGGAAGCGTAAGACCACCCAATTGGGCAAGTATCCTGTCATAGAGGTACTTGTTGTGACAGCCATCACTGCCATCCTGGCTTTCCCCAATGAATACACCCGAATGAGCACAAGTGAGCTCATTTCTGAACTATTTAATGACTGTGGCCTTCTGGACTCCTCTAAGCTCTGTGATTATGAAAACTATTTCAACTCAAGCAAGGGTGGTGACCTGCCTGACAGACCTGCTGGTGCGGGAGTCTACAGTGCCATGTGGCAGCTGGCCTTGACACTCATAATGAAAATTGTCATTACTATATTCACCTTTGGCATGAAGGTGAGGAGATTCTTTTGGTACTCAGTGGGTATATGTGTGGCTGTGGGTTTGGAGGGCAGAGCCAAGATATCACACAATCCTCATAGCTCATGTGGCGCTTCCAACTTCATCCAACGTTATTACTCAACCCCCAAAGCCCTTTTTACCTCCATATGCCCTCATAACTTCTTGGACAATTGTACCTCTATCTAAAATGATCCAAGCCTAGTTTTAGACCAAATGCAAACTTCAGTGTTGAGATTTTAAGTAGAAATGTTGTCTTCTTTTTAGTTAAAAAATATTTTGCCCCTCAAAAAGGATAGTGAGGTATTTATTTCTATGCATTGTGTATTAAAATAATATCTATCCAATATAGTATTGGTCCTTATAGGGTGGCTTTAGAGTTTACTGATAAAACAAAATATTAGGTTGAACCAAATAAAGTTGCCAATATTCAACCATTTTGACCACTAAAATAGCAACTTCATATAGTTTAGCCCAATATATATGTAAATGTATTTTTAAAAATATATTTTTATTGATTTCAGAGAGGAAGGGAGACGGAGATGGAAACATCAGTGATAAGAGAGAATCATTGATCGGCTGCCTCCTGCACACCCCACACTGGGTGTTGAGCCCACAGCCCAGGCATGTGCCCTAACTGACCAGGATTCAAACCGTGACCTCCTGGTTCATAGGTTGACATCCAACTATTGAGCCACACTGGCTGGGCTATGTAAATGCATTTTATACATTTGATATCAATGTCCAATTATCAAGGAATTCACAGTTGATCCTCAATTAATATTTAAACTGTCAAAATGAGACATCAAGACAGCAAGTTTTACTTTTAGTACCCATTATTATTTCCATGTTTCAGAAGAAACCAGAAAAGAAAATTTGTTAACATATTTTTCTCCTCCTTCCTGGTTTTAATTTGTGCCTTTTCTTTAGCACCCCACTACCAAGTTATTGCCTTCATTCTCTAGGGAAGTGGAGATTCAAACCAGGGGATTAGAGACAGCAATGCAGTTTAGACAGTACTGAAATCTCTGAGATCAAATCTTCCATCCTCCTCAACACCCTGAAAAGTTTTGCAGTGCTTCTCAAGTAATTTTCACCTCTGGCTTCATTCTTTTATTTAAAGTCATTTTCCTGGATTCAAATATATTCCAAAAAATCAAACACAAGCTATTTAAAAATAATCTGCTGTTTTGATTATCTTTGTCATCATGTCCTTCTCTTAGCTCAGAAAATTGAGAATTCACTGTAGTATCCTAGGAGTTAAAAAAAAAAAAAGAGTGGAGAGACAGATGAGGGTTCCTTTTCTGGATAGTCATGCAACCATAATCACTACCTGATTTAAAATAATTAATCATTTAATCTTTCTTTGTTTTGTCACAAAATAAACTGAAACCTCATGTGCCATTCTTTTTGTGTGAGCAGTGGGTTAAGATTCAGTACATAAGAGTGGGTATGAGCATTGCATTTAAACCCCATCATCAGTATTTACTAAATCTTGGCCTTGGGTAAATTACTTAATTTCTCTGAATCTTAGGTTCTGTGTGATTTGAGAATAAGAGTACCTACATCCTGAAATCTTATCTTTAGAGCATCCAGAATAGAACATAGTAGATAGTCAGTAAAAGATAATTGTTGTTGATAAGAATTAAAAATTGGGGAAAATGTCTTCATATATGAGAAACTCCATCTATTTTCCTTTTTCTTTGGGAAAGGCTTAATTTCTGCCTCCAGTTTTTTGTTGGTCTGGAGAGTTCAGGCTCTAGCCTGATGGACCCCGAATCAGGGTAAGATTCTTTGCGGTCATACTTGCCTGCACATTCCAGAGAACCCCTAGTCCCTGTAGTTACACATATCTTTATAGCCACTTACTAGCATAGTATATAGTTACATTGTCATTGGCCTGTTTGCTTCACAGAGGGTCAATCCTCTAGCCCTTACATATACCAGGCAATGACATTATTTCTTACTAACCATCTATTACTTTCTCTTTGCAGATCCCTTCTGGTCTCTTTATCCCTAGCATGGCTGTTGGTGCTATAGCAGGTCGACTTTTAGGAGTAGGAATGGAACAAATGGCTTATTACCACCATGACTGGGCCATCTTTAATAGCTGGTGTAGCCAAGGAGCTGACTGTATCACTCCTGGCCTTTATGCGATGGTTGGGGCTGCAGCCTGCTTAGGTGAGTAGTGTTTGCATTGATTTCAAAGTTGCTACCCAGGTGACATACTAAGAAGAGTGATATTAAATACAATTGACTGCAGATTTTTTTAAGTGACCATTTTCTGTTGGGTTTGCCATTTTTTAAGTGCTTTAAGAAAGCATTCTTGATTGTCCAAAGTACGGGTATTTATTTTCCCATACCGCTCTGAGTTTTTTCAGATATGTCAAGCCTATTCCTTCATCCTGATCTTTGTACTTGCTGTCCCTTCTAGGAATGCTCCTCCCAAAGCTATAGCATAGTTGGTTCCTTTCAGCCTTCAGATTTCATGTTAAAAGTTTTTCTCCAGAGAGTAGTTCTCTGACTGCTCACATTATATGTAATTCCTCACATGCTCTTCCTCCCCCACTTTATGTTGGGAACATGTGTATATTATTACAAATTGTCTGTTGTCTATGATAGCATGCTCTTTTATTAAATAATTGTTAAATACTTTAAAAAGAAAACATTCTTTGCTATATATCTACATTCCTCCCTTTTCAGAGTAATTCTACTCTCAAATTCCAGCATATGGAGGAAATGATCAGAAATGTATACAAATTTGTATCAGAAATGTATACAAATATATCTGCACAAGAATGTTCATCATGATGTTATTTATAATAGCAAAAAGTTGGAATCAACATAAAATACACAGTAAGGGACTGGTTAAATAAAATATGGTGCATCTATGTAATGTTATACTATGCAACCATTGAATGTGATGTTAATATTTAACATATTTAAATAGTGTTAAATAAATTTGTAATAATATACAAAATGTTCCCAGCATAAAGTGGGGGAGGTGAGAACATGTGGGGAATTAAACATGTAGTATGAGCTTACTCATGAAAAACATTTTTTGGCATAGTAAACAACTTGAAAAATTCATTCAAGTTATTTTACTCTACTTATTTCTGGGCAGTGAACTTATAGATAATGATATACTTGTTTTTTATTTTCTGAATTTTACACAATGGGCCTGCACATTGCAGAGAACCTCTGGCCTCTGTAGTGTTACAGATTAATGATATCTTCTGCAGCTACTTTTATAATGGGGGGAGCACAATAGACAAAACAAAAAGAAGAATCAGAAAGGCATCTCATACTTTTGCAGATGTTATTTTGAGAACTCTGATTCATTTCCATTGTAAACTTCCTTTAATGCATTGCTGGGGTCGACAGTTGTGAGTGAGACCTCCTTTTAGCAATGTTTCTGTTAAGTAAGCTTTACCTGAGTAAGGCCTGTAGCAGGTAAATAATTGTAATGAATCCTATACTCTTCCCACCTTCAATAGCCTGTGCCTGTTTCTTTGCAGGTGGAGTGACTCGGATGACTGTTTCTCTGGTTGTCATAATGTTTGAACTAACTGGTGGCTTGGAATACATTGTGCCTCTGATGGCTGCAGCAATGACAAGCAAATGGGTGGCAGATGCTCTTGGGCGGGAAGGCATCTATGATGCCCACATCCGTCTCAATGGATACCCCTTTCTTGAAGCTAAAGAAGAGTTTGCTCATAAGACCCTGGCAATGGATGTGATGAAACCCCGGAGAAATGATCCTTTGTTGACTGTCCTTACTCAGGACAGTATGACTGTGGAAGATGTAGAGACCGTAATCAGTGAGACCACTTACAGTGGCTTCCCAGTAGTGGTGTCCCGGGAGTCCCAAAGGCTTGTGGGTTTTGTCCTCCGAAGAGATCTCATTATTTCAATTGGTAAGGATTCCAGAAAAGGGATAATAGAATTCACTGTGGAAATAAATAAATATTCATAAAATGGGGGAAGATTGAGGGAAGAGGGGACTAGTTAGGAGCCAGAAATAGCAGTTTAATTTTCAACATTTTCTCCCTATTTTTCAAATAGAAAATGCTCGTAAAAAACAGGATGGAGTTGTGAGCACGTCCATCATTTATTTCACTGAGCATTCTCCTCCAATGCCACCATACACTCCACCCACTCTAAAGCTTCGGAACATCCTGGATCTCAGCCCCTTCACTGTGACTGACCTTACCCCCATGGAGATCGTTGTGGATATCTTCCGCAAGCTGGGACTGCGGCAGTGCCTGGTTACACACAATGGGTAAGAGCTCTTTGGTGAAGGCGAATTGGGTTGTGGGGGAAAGACTGTAGAGAGAAAGAAAGAATGTAATTCACATGAACATTAGTAGCACTTATAGGCCTTTCTGAAGCTCTGAAATGAAGATGGATGTGTTTCTTTTATCGTCATAATTTACAAAAAAGGAGTTTGAGGAAGAAAGTGGGTTTGAGAGGTGTGAACTGCAGGTTGCATATTATATATAACTCAATTCCTCCCCACAAAAGAAATAGCTGTGTTCTTATGAAATTATAATGGTATTAAGTATTATATGTACAGTATTTGGTCCTTATAATACTTTTGTTATTCTTTTTTTAAAATTTATTGATTTCAGAGAGGAAGAGAGAGGGAGACACAGGTAGAAACATCAATGATGAGAGAGAATCACCGATCGGCTGCCTCCTGCATGCCCCCCACTGGGGATCGAGCCCGCAACCTGGGCATGTGCCCTTGGCCTGAATCGAACCTGGGACCCTTTAGTCCTTAGGCTGACGCTCTATCCACTGAGCTAAACTGACTAGGGCTACTTTTGTTATTCTTATATGAGGATGAGAAAACCAAGTTTCAGTGAGGTTGGAAGATTTATACTAGCACTCCCAGTTAATATATAGTACAGGTAGGCTTTAAACATCAATCTTCTGACTCCTAAGGCCAAAATTCTTTCTGGGATATTTCTTTTTCCCCCCTTTTTTATTGTTTAAAGTATTACATTTGTCTCCTTTTTCCCCAATCAACCCCTCCCCGACACTCCCACCCCCCAGGACAAGCCCCCTGCTGCTCCAGTGTCCATGTCCATTAATTTTGCTAAAATGTATGCATACAAGTTCTTTGGTTGCTCTCTTACCTTACCCCCTCCCCTACCCACCCCTTCCTTCCCTCTGAGGTTGGATGGTCTGTTCGGTGTTTCTTTGTCTCTGGATCTATTTTTGTTCATCAGTTAATGTTGTTCATTATATTCCACAAATGAGTGAGATCATGTGATATTTATCTTTCTCTGACTAGCTTATTTCACTTAGCATAATGCTCTCCAGGTCCATCCATGCCGTTGCAAATGGTAAAAGTTCCTTCTTTTTTACAGCAGCATAGTATTCCATTGTGTAGATATACCACTTTTTTTAATCCACTCATCTGCAGATGGGCACTTAGGCTGTTTCCAAATCTTAGCTATCATAAATTGTGCTGCTATGAACATAGGGTACATATATCTTTTCTGTTGATATTTCTGATTTCTTGGGATATATTCCTAGAAGTGGGATTACTGGGTTGAATGGGAGTTCCATGTTTAACTTTCTGAGGAAACTCTATACTGTTTTCCACAGTGCCTGCAGCAGTATTCCCACCAGCAGTGCACAAGGGTTCCTTTTTCTCCATATCCTTGCCAGCATTTGTTGTTTGTTGATTTGTTGATGATAGCCATTCTGACAGGTGTGAGATGGTACCTCATTGCTGTTTTGATTTGCATCTCTGGAATGATTGACTTTGAGCATATTTTCATATGTCTCTTGGCCTTCTGTATGTCCTCTTTTGAAAAGTGTCTATTTAGGTCAGTGATGGCGAACCTATGACACATGTGTCAGAGGTGACACGCGAACTCATTTTTTGGGTTGATTTTTCTTTTTTAAATGGCATTTAAATATATAAAATAAATATTAAAAATATAAATCTTTGTTTTACTATGGTTGCAAATATCAAAAAATTTCTATATGTGACACGGCACCAGAGTTAAGGTAGGGTTTTTCAGAATGCTGACACGCCGAGCTCAAAAGGTTCGCCATCACTGATTTAGGTCCTTTCCCCATTTTTTTATTAGATTGTTTATCTCTCTTTTGTTGTATGAGTTCCATGTAACATTTGGAGATTAAACCCTTATCAGAGATAGCATTGGCAAATATGTCTGAAGAGGAAAAGTATCCTCTTTGAGAATGTTATTTTAACTACAGATTTTTTTGTTTTATTGTCTTGTTTTGTCTTTTAGGCGACTGCTTGGAATCATTACCAAGAAGGATGTGTTAAAGCATATAGCACAGATGGCGAACCAAGATCCTGATTCCATTCTCTTCAACTAGAATGAAAGGATTGTGCTGGATACAAAACAGGAAGGACATTGCAGACCGTGGATATATTTTATTAACTGGGTACCCAAAACACATTTCCCATATCTGGATGGTGAAGTTATATTAGTGTGTTGTCTCTTTCCTACAAGTTAACCAGTTGCACTACATAATAATTTCTGGAAGTTAATCTCTTTAGGAGAAAATGCAGTTAGACTTCTGTGATGTTGCATTACAAAGATTTCATGAAAGAGTAAATAAGATTGCTATGGTTTAATTCTTTTTCTTTTTTTAAAAGATTTTTTAAAAATTTAAAACGATTGTTAGCCAATATGCAATCACTGAAAACTATGCAAGGAAAATGTTGACCGTCCTAACTGATAGCCTGCAGGAAACTCATGAAAAAGTCACTTTTTTGGGACTCTAACTATCATTGGTGGAAGATGAAGTGTAAACTAAGGGGCTTTGCTTTTCCAATCACAGAAAAGAAAGCCAGAAGGAAAATAGTAATGGCATTTTCCAGACTGTGAAAATTCAGTTCAAATGTTATCTTGCTCCTGTTACAATATTTAGCATTATTAGTTTGTGTGTATATGTGTATGTTAATTTTAATACCTGATTATAAGACAATGCTGCTTTGGTTAATCTCTAAATGAATTTAGAGAGGTTGATTTTACGGCTTGCTTGTTCCTGGTACTCTTTTGAAGTGCACAAAGATAAGTTATAGAGCTTTCTCCTTGTCTGCTCTAAGAAGGGTAATTTTCCAGATGGTATTTGTTTGCTAGTAGACAAGGACTTTGCCATGCATTTATTAGTAGCAAGGAATGATTTCTCCAGAGGAATGATTAGTGAAGTTCTAAGTAAAGTCAATGACTAGGAACTTTAAATTTTGTGAGGTTCCAACTCATTCTCTTACCCAGATGCCACCTCCATGAGTGATGGTGCTTTAGGCTTCTGGAATATGTAAGAATATTCTGCATACTGGTAAACTAGGGAAGATTCAGAGCTGTATCTGCATTCTCATGCATTCCTTCATAAAGACCACCAGTACTAAAATAACTGGACACCCATGCCTCCTCTTAGTGTGAAGTACGTAGAACAGGCCAGTATTGTTCCTGTGAACATGAATTTAGGCTCTGGGTACTTTCAAATATATTCAAGGCATTGAAACAGAATAGGCAGTTGTGACTCCCTTGCAGCTCCTTAGAATTCTGAATGAAATGCAGAACCATCCAAAGACCCAAGAGTGTGGATAAGGCCTGGTAACACCAAAGGTGCTCGCATCCAATTGAAAAGGTGCCTGTCTGAATTTCCTACCACTTTAACTGCAGTAGAAAACATCACAGTCTAGGGACACCTGGTGGAATTACAGAGCCACCACCATCATTCCGATCATGGTTTCATTTTCTACAGTATTACCCACGTGTAGTTGTTCCCCCTCAATTCTTTGCCCCTTCCCACTCCTCAGTCCCAAGTTAATCATTCCTATTACAAAAAATAATTCCCAGGGCTAGTTAAATTATAAACCAAGCCTCAGTAATCTTTTGGCACATGGACCAGAGGTAACACACAGCCGTTGGCTCTGTTCTATAACCCAGTCACTGTTACCATGCCTCAGTTTCCACACCAATGCCCACAGCAGTGAGACTTAACTGCCAGGGGTGAAAGTTCAGCCTTTCCCATTTTACAAGTCTGTTCCCAGTGCTTCTCTCCATCCTTCTAGCCTGGAATCAGCAGTCACTCAGCATGTCCTTCCCAGCCCTCCACCTCCCTTCCCCAAACACTTCATACCTCATTTTAAAGCTGCTGATCCCAGAGTCTAAGCTTTTTTTAACCCTTAGTTCTTATCTTTCCCAAATATGAAATTATATTATTATCTAGAACTAGGTAGTCAAGGCTTAATTTTACTTTGTTCTTTAAAATATCAAAGCAGTCCAGAGTTTCTTATTTTAAGTATATCACTCTAGCATTTTAATGAAAACGAAAAAACTCTAGGATATATTTTATGATAGTCATAACTCAGCAACTTTACATCTTTCGTCCCTTCCATATTACTGATTCACTTGCATGAGATGTGGCTATTTTGCCTGACCACCCCTTTACATTGTGTAGAAATCAAAGTTCTTATCTGTAAATTTATGGATCATTGCCTATCTTATTAGCTACCAAACTAAAGTTTGCAAAACAGGAAATGTTAGTTTTTCTGGTATTTGGTGACAATGAAAGATTTGGTTGTATTTCATAGTGCAGCAGCGATATGGAGGGACTTCTAAGTTTGCCTTTGTGTTTCTTCTAGGCTCCGTTTATAATTTTAGACAGATGAGCCAGTGTTAAGGTGCTACTTCAGAGACTAAATTCAAGAAATCAGATAACACTGTGCCAAGGTAAACTTTTAGATGCTAAGAACCGATTGGCCCTCCAGAGAATAATATCCCTTTGATACCTCACTCCTGATAAGTTTCATCCATTAACCTCAGCTTCTCAGGAATCCATGTAACTCATATGCTAGAAGTAGCTATAATGTATGGTATGCATTATATGTCAAATCCTATGGTTTGGCTCAAAGGTTGGCTAATTGCAGCTAGAGCTCCCTGCTAGACTGCTAACTCAGCACTTCACCACTCAAGAGTTTCTTGTCTTGAGGCAAAGGAGAATGTTCTTTCTGACATTGCTAATTCAGCAGTTGGACACACTTAGCCAGCAAACAAAGCTGAATTAGGGAGGCCTGTCAGATGTCCACAGGCCTCAGTGGCAAAAGACAAGATAATCTATGATTTAAAAATGAATATGAATTTAAACTAGTCTAGTTTGGTATTAACAAAAGGAAATTGCCCGACACAAGAGAAGGATTTACCAAAAAAATGCCAATAAGCACTTCAGGATTTTCCGAGGAATAATATCCAGTCATGAAAGGAATGAAAATCTATAGATTTGTAAAAGTCTGCTATATTTTGTATCTTCAGATCTTTAATGTAAAAAATTAATGAACCTCAAGCACTTAATGGATGATTAGTTATACCATTAGAGGGAAGAATTAGGGGACTGAAAATGCAAAATAATGGCCATTCTCAAGATCATTTGTATTTAGAAGTTTGTTCAGATACTTTGCTCTTTTCTGGCTCTGGCCTCCTTCTGGCTCAGCCCAGCTGTGGAGCAGAGGTGGTATAGTCCATAGAACAGATATCCTCTGGTGTATAATCTGACACTGACAATACTTTGGATTTGCCAGCTGGCAGAATAAATGATTAATTTGCTGATTTAACTACAAAGCACTTCAATTGTTTTTGGTACCAAGGGCTGAATCCGAATGCTTTACAGAAAGAACAGAGCACAGTATAAATTTCTCTAGCCAGCCTTCAATTGTGTTTAAACATGAGGATGATAAAGTAATGGAGACTTAGTGTGGTCTAAGACTGCGAAATAATTCTCAATCATGTTATGAACCTGTTCAGGTGTGGGGGAAGCAAATATGTTTTTAAAAACTTACCATATAATAGAGTCCATCATGGGACATAATTGTTGCTCTATGTTTTAAGTATTTAAATCACCTATCCCATTTGAGTCTTGATCTTGGTTTGTTTTGTTTGGTGATAAGAAGAAAAGTGTACTTGTTACCCTGCAGTATCTTTTTAAAATCATAAGGAGTGCAATTTTTGAAGCTGAGTTTTTAATGATTGTGAAGACAATATAGAGAATTTGAAACAACCAGTGTGTTTTATATTGCCAAAGTACTTACTGATGACTGACCACATTGTACTGTGAATTATTGACTTACCTGCATTGGATCAGAGCCAAATACATGCAATCCATCAGTTCAGAGAAAGCAGGAGAGCATCTTCCACGGCAGTGCACAGAGTATTGAGCTCTTGAAAACCCTGAGAAAAATTAGGAATTTAGAAAGTAAAGGGGAGGTTGACTATTGAGTCCTTTAAAAAATAGATGTCTATATATGTGCTCTGAATATCCTAAAACCTTGACTTTTTTAAAACCATCTCTGAGATTGCTTGGATTCCCTTTGGAGAGGGAATGGAGAGTTATGGCAGTGGAAAAGCCCTAGTAAGAAAAAAATATGAGTTTATGTAAGATGGTGGAAGGAAGGCCAGCCACACATCTTGGCATTTATAAACTGCTTGATCATGTGCCCCAAGGGAAAAAAAAGTCAAATAGTCTTCCAAAGACCAGGCCTTCCAAGCAAAAGTATTTAGCTAGAGTGAGTCTACTTTTATGGAAAGGGCTGACATAAGACAAGACATCTGCTTTTAAACGTGGGGAGCCACTACTGCCATTGCCTAAATGATAAGCTTTAGGGAGATTTCCTTGAATTTTGATAACAAAATATTTTTAAATCTATATTTTAGCCTCCCCAGTATATACTTATTTATATTAGAAAGAAAAATGTGAGGGTTTCTCAGATCAGAGCTCAGGGAGCTGTGTAAATTTGATAGGAAATCAGTGTAGTATACCTGTGGTGACCACAGGACTTTTTCTCTGGTTCAATTTCAGTTGTTTGCTCCGAGGAGAGTTCTTAGAATAGCAGGTGTTAGCAAATTCAGGTTATTCCCCAAACATTTGCTGGCCAGGGTCTCATTTCATAACATCTGGTCCTGGGTAAAGTTTTCAAGTGATGTAGGGAACAAAATTGGTTTTTCCACTGTGTAATCTGATTTTTGCCAGATCACCTAAGAAAGAAAGAAAGTATTTGATGTGCAGAGTTTGCGTTTCTTGCATGGAGCTTATTGGGTCACTCAGCCCAACCCTGCAGTCATAAATTCCTACCTCTAAGTTCCTGCCAAAGGGTCTTCAGCCTATCTTTGCACACTCATTGAATGAATGCCTTGCTTAAAGAAGGCATGTGAGACTATAAAATTATGAGGATTTTAAAAAATGATCTTTGCCTCTCTCTCTTCCTTTTATCCCACCCTCACCCCTTCTTGCCCCCCCCCCCGCCTCTCTCTCTCTTTCTCTCCTTCCTCCCTTAAGTTCAAAATTTTCTCAATTGTTACAAGCATATTGTTTCAAATGTGGACCTTGGAGAAAGGAGAGGATCATTCTGAAAACAGAATAGAAGATAATTTTGACTTGATGGGGCCAATGGCCCTTTGTTCCACTGCAGGGGCAAGCTAGTGGTATTTATTGGGAGTGTCAAGGGCTTTAGCATCCTGAAGGCATATATATGAAGTATTCATTGATAAACCTTATTATTATGTACTAGTCCAAATCTATTGAAAGTCAGAGACAGTCTAGGATTTGGTAAGTGAAATGCCACCTGGCAAAATGGGGACAAGGGAGTGGCCTGAGACGGTTTTATCAAGGCAGGAATCTTCAGCCTCATTATCATACTGAGTGTACCTCAAAATATATTGACATTCAAGAGTGTTCCTTTCCCCTCCTCCATTTTACTTTATCCCTTATCCCTCTTTTCTCTCCCATTGTCCTGCCTTTTTAGTACTAGCTTTTTATTAAGTATTTACTTTTTTATTATATATTTGTTCCTTTGGGACTATGTAATGATTAAGAATATATTTCATTCTAGATAAAAAATGATGTGCTTAATATTTTGTTCTTTTAAACTGTCTTTTGAAGCTATGCTGCTAACCAGGTACAGGCCAGAAAGGAGTTGAGCCTGATAGACAGCACCCAGGTCATATCACTTAAGGATGACATTGATGTCATGATGACATTGATATCAGTCTTCTTCATTTGACCAAGGCCAACATCATGCTCTTACCTCTGTCCATTCATCTCTGGCTATGGGAGAAATACCACCCTTTGGGTGAGCCAATGAGGCCAGGAGGATCAGAGGGTTCTAGCCCATGGGCCACTATAGGAATATCTCTGTAATAAGCTCATTCATAGGACCGGCTCCAGCTATGGTAGCCAAAGAAAATCTGACTAAACATTTTAGTTTATAAGAGTTGGTAGAAGTTTAACTGAAGCTAATGTATAGACATCAACTAGGCAACCAAAGCTAATGTAGCCTGAGTTTCCACAGGAAGCTGAGCTGTTCAGAGTGTTTATTTATCTGAATGTTGCCAACCCTTATAGTCACGCTTTCTTAGCTTTATTCTAACTTTTAGAGATGTTGGTCCCTGTTCATAGGTACAGCCTGTACCAAAGCTGTGAGTCACTGCTCACTTCATTCTGCTCCTTGATCATGCATAGCAACAGTCTAAAAAGGAAGACATGGGCTGGGGAGTTATTTATTCCCTATGCTTCTACTAACTAGCCTCGAGATCTTAACCGTTCTGTGCCTCAGTGTTCCCATCTGTAAAATGGGGATAGTGTTAATTGCCCTACCTACCTCACAGGGTTGTTGTGAGGATAAATTGAGACAATGAATGGAAAGTACTTTGACTAGTAAGTGCTATGCAAATTGTATGAAATGGAAATAATCATGTTAAAGGCAATGGAATGGACATTGGCAGAAGGGTTAATGGGATTGTCTAGTCCTTTCTCTGTGTGGCTTAAACCCAGGTTGCCATTGCTTTATACATTTCCACTTAGCACAGATTTGTAATTATGCATGTAATAAAGCACAGCCTTATCCAACCTAGTGTCTTGTGTGTTTTTGATGACTTTCAATTTTGTACCTATTGATTTCTAATCATAAAATCAGGGAAGCAGCGTATCAGGGTTGGGGGAGGATAGTATAAAAGGCAACTGCAAATTCCTACTAGCAAGCTCACTTCTAAAAAAGATTTACTAACTACTTAATTATTTTTACATTTACAGATTCAGTAATACTTTTTTAAAAATATATTTTTATTGATTTCAGAGAGGAAGGGAGAGGGAGAGAGAGAAACATCAATGATGAGAGAGAACCATCGATCAGCTATCTCCTGCATGCCCCCTACTGGGGATCAAGCCCACAACCCAGGCATGTGCCCCAATCTGGAATCGAACCATTACCTCCTAGTTCATAGATTGATGCTCAACCACTGGGCCATGCCAGCTGGGTGAGATTCAGTAATACTTTTTAACATAAAGAGACAAATGAGGGGCAGCTTACAAAATTTTCTGAGAAATTCCAGATACCTCATTCATTATGGCTACTTAAATGTCCTTGTCTCATACATTGGTGATATTTTCCTGATGAGATGAGAATTAACTGGGAGCTGTAGTTTTCTTTCTTTTTGAGCTTTTAATGATGTAAGATTATGGACTTTGATAAGGCTCTTACCTATGTACTGTCACTTTTTACAAGGAGTAGAGTGGGTGATTGAAATGTTCCTCAATGAACAGTAGGGTTAGTATGTTGGAAACCCCTGAAGTGACCAAGGAGCGAACTTTCCAGGGAGATAGTCGAATATACAAACATTTCCTTTATACACCTCTCTAGAAAGCAAAGGGAAGCTATACAGCAAGTCCTCAAATAACTGTTTTGTTCAACATATTTTGGTTATAACATTGATGAAATGCTTAACTCTCATTTTTGTAAATTAGCCTGAGGTAAAATTGGTTTTGTTATATGTCATTTTACTTGAAGTCACAGAACCTATCAACGACATTAAGTGAGGACTTTCTATACTTTGAAGTATGGCTTTCCTACTTTCTCACTCTGTTTTCCCTGCATCTGATTTGTTTCCCCCACTCTTTCCCTCTCTCTGTTAGCCAGACCACTAGTAAGGCAGTTTGCTATGTGTGCAAGTTTTCATTTAAGAATTCCTTTAGTTGACATTCGATCACATCTTTACTGGTGTTGACTTGATATCTTGTTGCTACCAAGAACTTTAATGCCTTTAGCTTACATGGTAGCATTTAAATAAGGACACCTCTATGTAAAAATAACTCACTCATAAGCCTAAAATGCCACAAATAAATTTCAGTTTTTGATGTTATTTGTAATTTTACTGGACTCTTTCCACACTATCACCATCTGGCCTCTACCTTTTGAGAAAAAACAATATATCTAGTTGTTACTAGCTATCAACGACTTGCTACAAATTAGAGTTTCATGTCTAGTCACTGTAGGGCTCAGATAAAAGTGGCTTTGATGGAGTATGAAGTACACACTAATTCATCCTCTAATACAGGAGCTGCCCAGAGGAAAACCTAGAAATGACCACCAGATGTCAGTGCAATCATTGAGATACTAATGTAGCTAAGGTTTGATCAGAAAAGAACTGTGAGGGTAGGCAAAGCAAGAAGCATTAATTCATATATACAGCTAGATGCTGGGCATACAAAATTCCATTGAAAGTTATTCTTAGTTTACCGGCATTCTATTTTTAATGTATATAATAAAATTCATGCTTTTTTAAATTTTAAAAAAAGCAATCACTTAACATTCATTGCCTTTAAGGAGCTTATTGTCCTGATTCTGAAAGTTGTAGCTTCTTTTTCAAAGCAGTGTCCCAGAGAAAAGAAGAACTACAGTTCCTCACTAGGATGGCCACATAATTTTTTGTATGATTATGTCTCTTTTGACAGTAGGATGGTGATATTAATAATTACCCAGGGACAACAGGCACAAAACTGGGACTATTTTCGGTGTCTTAGTAAATTCAAGCTGCTATAACAAATTAGCATACACTGGATGGTTGAGGAGATTCACTTCTTATATATTGTCCACTGCTAATGTCTCTAAATAGGCATTTTAGGATCTTGATTCAGGAGGCTACAGATAGAACAAAAGACAGAAGGAGAAAAGTATAGGATTTGGAGTCAGAGGATCTGGACTGGAGGCTTAGTGTAAAGGGATTGCTACCGTTCTTTTTTAAAAAAATTATTATTGAAAGTATTACATATGTCACTTTTCCCCATTGATCTCTTATTCAATTGGTCTTTGAGGGATAAAGTAGATAATGTATGAGAATAGTCAATTCACCCAACCAATATTTATTGCATACCAGTAGGCAGTAAGGATTCAATGAAAGGAAAACACAGACCCATTCCCTAGATGACAATCCAAAACAGTCAATTCAGAATGGCATAAACAAAAGGTCTATTCTAGTGGAAGAATTATTTTCCTCTCCTGATTCTGCTAATATTCCAGAGTGTAGGGAATAAAATGTTTTCTGATTATTGTGCCACCAAAGCTCTGAAGTATACCACTAAATCAGGGCATCCTAGGCACATTCAAACCAAACTGTCAAGCTATGGTTTTCAAGAGGGAGATACCCACTTTCTTCCCTCCAGCTTCAACTCCCACCTGGCCACATTTGAAGCCTGTCAAGCCACTCAGAGAACCCTTCCTTACCCCAGATATCAAGCAACCTGACAAAACCAATTGTACTCCTTCCCTCTTTGCCTGTCCTCCAGCATACTCCTCTTTCTAACTCCAGTTACAAGACCAAAACTTTCTTGTATGTGGATGAATACTAACAGATATGTCTGTGTGTATATGGACAGTGGAGAGGAGGGTTGTCTACACTCACAGCAATATGTAAGGAATGCTTTATTACACAAATACTCTTCAATATCACAACAACCCTGTGAGTAGGCAAAATATGAGGAAACTGACTAAGATGGAGACTTAGCAGAATGTGTTATAACAGAAACTGTACCTTTGTGGTTTTGACAAGTCCAGTGAGCTTTCTACTATTAATCTTGGGACTAACAGCTCCTGTTCATCCTGAAAATTTCCAGGCCAGTTTATGGGAAGAGGGTAATAAGCGCCTTGCCTGGTTGGACAGTTGGCTTAGTGTTAAAAGTATATTGTGGGTATGAATCTGTATAGAGATGTGTAGAGGTGATCAGAAATATTTCTAGAAAGGATATCTCCAAAGAAGCTTTTAAATAAATGTGGGTGTGTAGAAAAGTGAGAAGTGGCAATAAATTGGGGTCGGGGAGTAGTATCTGGGGTCCTGTATTTACTAATTTACTTCCCTTGGTATTATTTGAAGTTTCTACCAGGAGCTTGTATCTGTTTTTATAATTTTTTTAGCAATAAACACCCAGGAAAGAAAACAGTATTTTTATATGTGGTTATAAGGATGTGTTCATCTCATTGATTGGAAGCTAATGTGTTTTTTTTCCCCTGCAAACTAATGGTAAACAATGAAAACTAAGGTCTCAGATCTAGTAAGTGGTTGTTATGATGAGAATTCTCATCTCTAAGAGGGGAGTCTTATGACTCATGTGGGCATAGGACTGTTTTCTCTCATAATCTAACACAGCAGCCAGAATAACCTTTTTAAACACAAATCAGATCACATCAATTGTCTGATTTAAAGCCCTTTGGTGATTTCCCATTACATCTAAAGTAAAATCAAACCTCTTATCCTTATCTCTGAGGCCTTTAATGAGCTTCATCTGGTGTATCTTGCTAACCTTAGACCAGCGGTTCTCAACCTGTGGGTCGCAACCCCTTTGGCGGTCGAACGACCCTTTCACAGGGGTCGCCGAAGACCATCCTGCATATCAGATATTTACATTACAATTCATAACAGTAGCAACGAAAATAATTTTATGGTTGGGTCACAACATGAGGAACTGTATTTAAAGGGCCAGAAGGTTGAGAACCACTGCCTTAAATTGTGTGTTCAATTGTGTCCACCTAAAGTTCATATGTTAAAATTATAACCTTCAGTCCCTCAGAATGAGACCTTATTTGGAAATAGGGTCATTGCAGATGAGATCAGTTAAATTAGGATGAGGTCGTACTAGAGTAGGGTGGGCCCTAATTCAATATGACTGATGTCCTTATAAGATGGAAAAATTTGGAAACAAGCACATGCACAGGGAGAACACCATGTGAAGATGAAGGTGTAGATCACTGTAATGCTTCTACAAGCCAAGAAATGCCAGAAAACCATTAGACTTTAGAAGAAAGGCACAAATAGATTCCCCTTCACAGACCTTAGAATGAGCCAACCATGCTGATATCTTGATCTTGGACTTCTAGCCTTCAGAACCGAGACAATAAATTTCTGTTGTTTAAGCCACCTGGTTTGTGGTACTTTGTTATGGCAGCCCTCAAAAACTAATTAATACATCTTATCTCAGCACTCACTCCCTTCTTTCAATGCTTCCATCACACTATTTTCTTTTTTTTTCAGTTCCTCACACGTCCAGTTTATTTCTGCCTCAGATCTTTGCACTAGATGTTTCATTTTATTTTTTACTTAAATTAACCATTTTATTTTAATTGTGATATTGGAGTCACATCAAGAATTTGAGGAGGACTTGGTTGGGCAGTCTTCTGCAAATTTTGTGTGGTTGCTATTAGATCTCTACTTGAGGTTACAATATTCTGAAAACTCCATGAGCTGGGCATCCAACCTGGCTCCTTCACATGGCTGGCAGGTGATGTTGGCTACAGACTGAGAGCTCAGCTGGGGATTCCACCAGAGCAGTGGTCAGCAAACTGCGGCTTGCGAGCGACATGCGGCTCTTTGGCCCCTTGAGTGTGGCTCTTCCACAAAACACCGACTTCTGCGCATGGGCCACGAAGTTTCAATCACACTGTATGTGCGTGCCCGCACGTGGTATTTTGTGAAAGAGCCACACTCAAGGGGCCAAAGAGCCACATGTGGATCTCGAACCACAGTTTGCCGACCACTGCACCAGAGCATCTGTCATCTCAAACATGGAGGTCTCAGGGTTGT